TCGCGAGGTCTTTTTTGCGCGCTAACAACATTTTGTTTGTCGGCCGCTGAAGTCAACATCAACAACGGACATACCACAGTTAACATCTTTAATTTCAAGCACTAGTATGTCTCAAGTTATAGTTACTGGTATTCCAAGCGATTTTACTACAGCACGAAATAGTGCAAAAACACATGATCGTAACGAACTTCTTGCGGAAGGCAGACTTACTCACAGATGGTCCGAATGTTCGCAGTCTGCAAAGCTTTCGATGATCCTGTCTTTTGAGAGTTGCCCAGAAGCGAAATAATGACGGGTTTGACTCCCTGGCATGTGCATGTTTCGGCTTACCATTGAAACAATTGAATGAATCGTAGAGGCATTGATTGTTCCAGTGGTGAAATCAACATCTGGCGCTGAGCACGAGAACAGCACTACTTGCCGCTGTGTTGTATGTTCCCAGGGGATATGAAATATGTTTTTTTGCCTGTGCCCAAGAAGTCTAGGTTTGAATTGTAGTCATATGAATTGGAATAAATATTTTTAATCAGCTCCTGTAATTGAGTTAAATTGATTCTTATTAATGATTCAGATTGCTGATTTCCAGTTGAGTAACATAAGATCTCATTGTTATCAGAGAATTTTCAGACGTGATGCTTGTAGCTTGTAATGTTGTGATTAGGGTGATAAAACTGATAAAATTTCATTTTTGGGAAAATCGGACGCATTGGACTTTTTTTTTTGACTTTTTTGTTGTAATTTCATGTTTCTTGTTTCTATTATGCGTGTTTCGTTTTTTCGAGCAATTCCGTCTGTTGTAGAAATGAAACTACTCTGACTGTGGGTCATCTACTGTTTTTAATATTTGCGGTTGCCGTCAAATTAGAAAAAGTGTCTTTCCTACTATTCAATTTCACTTGTTGTGATCGCAGTGGTGTTCTGTGCCCCTTTTTCGAGAAGATGAAAATCTGATTGCTTATATGGTCAGAAAAGTATCGTTTAAGGTTAAAAGAAAAATGTGTAAATGCTGTTGGAAAATATAAGAAAGGATGATAGAAAAGGAAGGATGTGAAAAAGAAGTGTTAAAGCATCGTTAAAGAAGTATCGTTATTGTTTGTTCTATGGCTCTCTGTTAGAATTTTTCCACTTTTGTTATTGCGTATTGTAAGAGAAAATGCGATTGTTGATATGCTTCAGTTATTGTTCATCTTTTTTTTGCTTCCGTCAGTGACCAAGTTTCGCACCAGTATGTTGTTGTATTTTATACATAAAACTGTTTTTGGGTATAATTAATTTCAAGCTGTATTGCGTACTGTAAGAGAAAATCCGGTGTTGAAGTGTTTCGGCTGTTTATCCAAACATTAAGTTTGCATTGATTTGACTGCATGTTGTTCACTTTTTGTAGATTTTAAGTCATGAACTTTGTTTTTGCATTTTAGACTCCAGATTTTTTCGTTTTACACTAAACACGAAAAAACGCAGCATTCTTAAGAAGCGTGAATCGTGAAAATGTGGCTGGAACGCTTGCAGTACAAGAATTCAAATGTAGACGTAGTACTAAGATCATTTCCTTTATTCAAGCTTTGGTCATTGGTCACTACTTATCGGTTTATATGTATGTATGTATGTATGTATGTATGTATGTATGTATGTATGTATGTATGTGTGTATGCGCATGTTGTCTGTGAATACATATGTCTGTATGGTTAAAAAAATAACGTTTTTAAAAATTTTGTGTTTTTGTTTCTTGTTTTATACGTTACAATGCGATGAATAAAACCTGACGAATAATCTTCTTGTTGATTTTATCAGTCTGCTTGCATGTAACTCGCGAGTATTTGTGGAAAATTCAGAGTTTTATTAAAATTCATGAAAAAACAGGGCTAAGCTTTAAGTGATTGTAGCATTGGTCAAAGCAGCTAGAAAGAGTGCAGATGCGTAGCCATGGGTGGATCCAAGGCGGTCTCCTGGGAAGAGGGGGAATTTTTCCTCCTCTCCTCTTCCTTGTTCGTTATTACATTTGCTGGGTCCCGTGCTTCCCCCTTTTCTCGCTAGTCGGCCCTAAACTGCAACGATAACTGGGGAGAGGGAGGGGGGAGGGGAGGGCGGAAAAACTGGAGGTATCGAACACAGCTTTT